GTTCAATACTTTTCCCTGCGCCTTTCCACATTATTACAAATTTATGGTTTGATTTCTTTGTATGTATGGATCACTTGGGTTGTTACCAACATCTGGTGAAAATTTCATGTCATTAGCCCCTCTAGTAATATATTTACTGAGAAAAATGGTGACGTGTTCAATACTTATTTTACCCGCTGTACATTTAATCTTACCTGTTGATAGCACTTTGATCCACCTTAGTTTGGAGCAATTATGCAATTCTGACCGGACTGGTGACTTATTGGCTCATTCAAGTGGAGCTGAAAGAAATTACTGTCCAACAAAAAGACTACAATCTCAAACATTTCATAGACGTTCACCCAAATTCACACACCCTTACATCACTGCCAAACGTGAATTCCGTGGTTAGTTCCAAAAATGTGCAGTATTGAAAATGTCTAGCAGGAAAATTGTAAAATGTCTGCTGGAATGCATATGCTTGCTTTTATGGTTTTATGTCTTTTTATTAATTTTATTTGTATTTTATGCTGTGTAATTTCTGTTATGTAATTTATTTTGTCTTTAATTCAATACTCTGTACAACACTTTGATCATGTGGCTGTTTAAAGTGTTTTCTAAATAAAGCTGGTATGGTACGGTACGGTACTGTACGGTATGGTACGGTACTGTATGGTACTGTACGGTACAGTACGGTATGGTATGGTATGGTATGGTACGGTATGGTATGGTATGGTATAGTATGGCAGTCTCATGTTTTGCCATAAAAAATTTTGAGATGGGAGTTGAGACAGCAAAGCGCATTGGTCTAAGTATTTAGCAAATCTGTCTAATCAAAAATAAACTTTTTGTCCAAACTGAGGTTATTTGAAGAGAGAGTAAGATGTAATTTGTTTAAAAGTTTTCCAAATAAGTCCACTTCGGAAGGATCTATTCTAATCCTTTGCAATTTCAAGTGGATTAAATGGAATAGCAAAATGAACAATGCCACGTTAGAGCACCCTCCAACGAAAATGTAAGAATTGTTTGCAAACATGACGCATTTATAAAAGACAGGTTTAAAAAACAAGTTTATGACGTGTTTGGTAAGAAAGAATCTCTGAACTGTGCGCACTGCCTTTGTGTTGGTCTGAGAAAAATCTGGATCTGAAGATATTTAAATGACCCAAAGTTTAAAAAAAATACAAATCTCATTGTGTGGCTGATGCACAACACGTCATATTTAAAAAAATTTTTTGAAAAGAAACAAAACGAGGCCATCCCTGATCATGCAGCGGAGCATACGGAACCATGAAGTTCCTTCCAGCGTGTTGAAGCCTATAATGCTCAAAACCAGTTTTCAGTGTGCAGTGATGTGCAACACCTAATCCAGGGCTCCGACACAGAGATGCCAACATGGTATTAGGCATTTCAACACTTATGACATATCAGGTCTGGACTGTTCTCTTTAGTCATCTCATTACTAGGCACAGAGACGCAGATGGTTAAAACAAAATAACCATTGTTGTAATCATGGGGCACAGTCCTAAGACCTTCAGATGGAGAGTAGAGAGGATAAAGATGTCTACAGTAAACAAGGACAAGAACAAGCCATTTTTCTTTCTTAACGACCTCTCAGCAGTCATTGGCCAAGTTCTGTGTTTTTACATCTGCGAGTTTTTCCAAGATGCAAAAAAAAAACTTTCTTTTTTTTCATATTAAACAAAAGCAGCTCAAACCACACAAGAAGGAAGGCATGAAAAGGTTGAAGCATTTTGTTTATACAAAGATACAGATCAGACAACGGCTTCCTGTAGATAACAAAGGTGGTAGATACAAATCTGGCCACATCCAAAATGTTACCTTTCTCATGTCCGGTAACACAAACAGATTATCTGTGAGGGGCAGACAGGAAGATAGAAAGCTTGCACAGCACTCACCTTTTCCAGCTTTAAAGGAGCGAGGCTATCTCTTCACTGCATCTGTGTGGAGAGAGGTGGTGCTTTAGCCTGGAGGCAGCACTCAGACAGCAAGGTTCATCTGAAGTTACAGGCCTATTATCATTCCATCAGGATGCACCGACAAACTTTCCACTCAGCTGGGATCAAAACCTGCTGCCACACAATTCAAGACTATGGAAGAAAAAAAAAGTGGCACAAAGGTATGATAAGTCGCATCTTTCCAGAATAGCTTAGTGTGACTTTAGGAAGTATTGGTTAATTACCTGTTATGGGCCTTGCTGGATTAAATGTTATCCAACTCAGTTTGTTCTCAACCTCCATCAGAACCATATAAATACAGGAGACATGCTGGAATACCCACAGCAGAGAAGGTTCCAAATAAATGTGCGTAATCACAGCTCAGAGCCACAGAACCTTTTCACAAAGACCCTTGTGTCTTAAAGTTATCCGGGTGAGCAGGATATAAAAACACAAGTGTCAGAAATTAGTCGAGTTTTGACATTGTGTGCAAATATTTATCTAAAGCCTGCCTTTTTACTCTTTACCTCTTTTTCTTTTATTGCTAAACAGCAAACTGGTGAAAACATACGTATTGCTTTCCTTTTTTTTTCAGTAAATATATAGCAATCTGATATTGTCTGTCTTGTGGACCATGTTTCTGAGTTCATGTATAAACGAGTTGCTATAATGTCTGGACCTGATTATGCACAAACCACTTAAGAGGTCATGTATAAATGTTGTTTTGTTCTACATTACTAGTGGAAAAGTAAAATTATGCTATTAAAATTTGCAGTAAATCTATCATTGTACATTTGAAGTTACTCAAAATGAACTATAATTATATGTGTTTGCGTGACTAATTGTATAGTTTGATTCACAGAATCAGGCCAAATAGAAATAGAGCTGCAGTGTTAACGTGTGTGTGTGTGTGTGTGTGTGTGTGTGTGTGTGTGTGTGTGTGTGTGTGTGTGTAGTTAAAAAAGAGATAGAGGGGGGATAAAAATGGTAATAACCAGTGCAACATCTCCATCTACTGACAATACCGTAGGCACATTTTGAATTAAACCCATAGCTCAGTAGGACAATCTACTGTATATACGTATCACCAACTATATTTACGAATTGTTAGTACTTTATATTTAGGAAATACAACTTGCTTTTAACCACAGAAAGATGAATTTGTTATATTAGTTTCCTGCAAAGTTACATTTGACCTAAATAATCTTTCCTGCACATTCACTGCCCACACTGCTACAGTCTGACAAACACTTCAACAGTTCTTTCAGTCATTTGAGGGGGGAAAAAATCATAAATTTATTTTTTTGTTTAATTATGACTTGTTTGAAACAAAATTAATACTGACTTATTGTTTGACAATTATTAATAGGAAATCACTGAAATGTTTAACTGATTTTTTGTTTAATTTGTTTTGCAGACTATAATTTCTCTTTAAGATACCTGTCTATGAAAAATATCAGAAACGTTTGCTTGTCAGCAGCTAAAACAATAAGCTGGGATGAACAGCCTCATCAGATGCACTTCTCCAGCCAGAGTTCAGTCTTGTTTTTTGTTTCACCATCTTCCTGATGTGTGTGTTCGCTCTGTTTTGCTTTTGTCTCTAGGCACGTTTTTGATGAGGGAATGACGTTATAACATGATATAAGTTGGTGTTTTAGGGCTAATGGTAATGGTGAATGGACTGAACTTATATAGCGCTTTATCAAGTCCCTCCGGACTCCAAAGCGCTTTAGACATTCACCCATTCACACTCACATTCACACACTGATGCTGGTAAGCTACATTGTAGCCACAGCTGCCCTGAGGCACACTGACAGATGCGGGGCTATCATGCACCGGCGCCACCAGACCCTCTGACCACCATCAGTAGGCAAGGCAGGTGAAGTGTCTTGCCCAAGGACACAACGAATGAAACGGCTGGATTGGGGATCGAGCCGGTGACCTTCCAGTTCCAGAACGACTCCCCTAACCACTCCACCACAGGGCTAGAAGAAATAATTTTTAGATTAGTGCTGCCCACCAATGGATTCCATTTTGTTTAATTCCGTGATTCCATATGCAATGTCTGCATTGCAGAATAGGGCCCTACAAATCTCAGTCCTATTTTTATTTATTTATTTACACACCTGGGAAATTTATCCACGTACCCCCTGTAATATGCCCGCGTACACCAAGGGGTACATGTACCCCTGGTTGGGAATCACTGTTAACAGAAAACAAAATTCACACAAAACAAAATTAACACACCGCCCTCTAGTGGTTAGGTTGTGAGCTGCTGCTGTTCACTGAACAAAACCCAAAACTTTATTAAGAATTATCATCATTAACAACTTTTTATTTACAAAATGAACAGTTTTTACCTCATTAGAATTAATTTTATAATGAAATTTCGAACAAGTTTAATATTTACCAACAATATTTAACACAAAGTGGAAAAAATTAAACTTTTTCTTAAGAACATAAACAATGTCCGAGTTTAGATTTATAAACGCATTAATAAAAACACAATTTCATAATATAAAAACAAACAAAATAAGCTATTATAAACTTTTGTAAATATAATTATTCTTAAATATTTGATGTTTCCTATAAATCCTAAAAAGAATTACATTAAGTTTTTAAACTGAATTCTTCTGTGTGATTATAGGCACACATTTTAAAATAAATTTCAGTTTGTTTGTTTGTTTGTTTGTTTTTTCAATCTATCAATACTAGGATCTGGTTTTTTGCTTTTTTTTATCTGCCCAAAAGATTGAATAGTTGGTGGAAAAAAACACAGATTGAAATATTAGATTTAAAAATACATTCACAGTTTTAGTTTGCAAAGATCTGTTTATATA